TAGAGCCTGTGTGCTGTTTGATGCCATCAAGGATATCAATGATGACATCGTTCGAGCACAGCTTCAACTGCGCATTCACTTGATGGGGGAAACTTGGGACGACATTCCTCAAAATGAAGGTCTTCGAGCATTCCTGAGCACACATTGCATTCTGTGCCAAAGGTTTGTGCCGAGGACACAAGAACTTACATCCCACCTCCGCCATAGCCACAGCCACCTTGCAGATCGAGCTGTGCAAGCTGGAGGGGACTACATGCACACCAGACAGCGTGACCCCTGCAGCCTGTGTCAACGACCGCATCGACGACAAGGACACCTTTGTCCCGCAGCTGTGAACATACAACTCTTTGCATTGCATCACACTGGACGGCCAGTAGGTGTACCTCCAACATTGAAGGCTGCAATCCTGGAGAGCCAATGCCACTTGTGTGAATTCAGCTGCCTGGATGAGCAGCACTTGAATTGCCACCTCCGACATCAACATGGATTACAATCAGTGGCGTTACCTCCGGCACCTCGGGATCATGCAGATCATCCCGCACTTCTGGAGGCCCTGAACCGAGGCACCATCATGGACCATCTACAAGCCAGTGATCTGAAGATGCGCCTTAGCCTGCAATGTCAGCTCTGCCCTTTCATGACTACCAGATTGGCTGGACTGTTCAAACATCTTCAATGTGCCCACGGCCACCTCTGGCTGCTGTCCACGGAGATGTGCACAATGTTTCAACACTGCTGGCAGGGCACGTGCATTTGCAATCCTGCACCTGCTGCTCGCAAGGGCCATCTATGTGTTGGTTGGCGCCAAATTGCCATGGCCTTCTACAACTACATGCCGTTGCACCGCACATTGATCATGCCTTGTGCAGTTGACTTTACCAAGCTGCGTGCACGCGTTCATAGCTGTCTGCAACGATGGGTACCCGGGCTCCTGCCACTCTTCTTCAACTACGATTGGAATGGCATCCTCTCCAATGCTGAAGTCCGTGCCACCCTTAGCACGCAGTGTATCCTGTGCCATCAGCATGAAGAACCCGACAGCATGCTGGAACACCACATCCATGAGCATGCCTTCAACGAAACCTATGGGCCCCTGTTCATTGACCTTTGGATCAAGCAACACCTGACCCAGGCTAATTTTGTCACGCCCTGCGGTCTCTGCCAACACCAGCTGCCCAAACTGTCGGCTGACGAATCATAACACTTTCAGCTGCTCAAACACAACTGCCCGGTGATTACTCACCTGGCAGCCATCAATTCAGCCTTGATAGTGGCAGACATCAATGGCAGACTCGGAGCCCATGGACGTCCAGGACTTCTCCTACCAACTACAGGAAACGATGGGCCTCTTGGCTCCAGTACTCCTGAACAGCAGGGCGATCCCAAACGACCACGGACCACGGCGAGAAACGACCTCGCACAGAGGCAATGACCGAGCCAGACAGGGTGGGCAACGTCCACCACACACTCCGAGCAATGATGCAACTCCTGCTGAAGCACGAGGATCAGCTCCAAAGCATTGCCAAACAGGACTGCTTCATTTTTTCCACCACGCCGGGAGAAGCAGGGATCCAACCCATCCTTCTCAAGGAGACAGCCACATGGACGCAAGCCATGCAGTCCACCACTCCACCGAAGGAACCCTTGAGGCTGATCCTGGTCAGGACCATCTTCGACACCCTGATCGAACGAGTCCAAAAGATTGCCAACATGGACACCAACTCTGCAGCGTGGCAACAGACCATCAGCACGCAGGTCATTCTCCCGGACGGGAGTTGGCCCTTTCTCAGCTGGAACCATGCCAAAAGCAAATTGGAAATCAATCAAACGAAGAAGAGCCTGCCCGCCATGAAGACCCTTATGGAGCTTTTGCAGGAGATCAGGGAACTACTTTGCCAACAGAGCTCAGTTCTCCGTGTGCAAGCATTGAAACCACCTGCTGGAGGCGGCACGATCCCGTGGAGGATGCAGATTGGCTTGAGAGAGACGACTCTCTTCGATCAGCTCTCCAGACTCACCTACTCCAGCACGTGGCAACTACTTCAGATGACGACGCAGCCGCACAATGCAAAGAGAACCAACATAGCCACAACCATTCAGCAACAGCTGAACTCGAACGGCACGGATCGACCTCACTCCAAGGGGAAGGGCAAGGGCAAGCACAAACGCTCTTCCTGATGGAATTTAGCCTGACTTTCGACAAAGAAGCAGCCCGGCAAAAACTGCTTCTATCACGCATGGCAAACCCAGCTGCCTGGTGCTACCTGAACGCCACCATCACAGGCCTCCTCTGGCTTTTGCTGGCTGATCCACCGGAAGAAGCGCAGCTGAGTGAGATCTGGGGCCCTCAGGCAAAGGCCTGGTTTTTGGTTTTGGGGGCCTGCAATAGTGACAAGCCGGTCTCCCTTTTTGACCTCGTAGCACTGCAGCCTTTGATGCAGTATTGGGACACGCAGCCACATCAACAGTGTTGTGCTGCAGAATTTCTTTTGAGGGTGCTTGAATGGAGTCAGCTCCCTTTGCTTGATCACTCATGGGAGCAACGAGTGCTCCAGGGTTCACAAGTGGAGATTTTTGAAAAAGGAGGTGAACACTGCCTCCTCACGTTCAATTGGATAGAGGAACTTGACATGGAGCATGTCCAGCTAGCGGACTGCATTTGGTCTTGGGCCTTGGGTGCACCACTTCGGCATGCGTTCGGCCTTCGTGAACAACTCACCATACAAATGTCTGCACCTTGACGGAGGCTACTTGGTGCACCAGGACTCCGTGGTCAAGTACTCCGAGGTGATCCAGCTTCCAGTCTTTGACGGTGACACGATCACCTATGACCTCAAGCCATATCAGGTCATGGCCATTTTGGCCCACTTTGGCGACAGACATGGAGGCCATTATGTGGCAGTGCTGATTGGCCTGAACGGCCAATAGATTAAAAAGAATGACGATCACTCCCTGGTCTTCCACGACTAGCTCCCGGAGTACCTGTGGACGGCCACCACAGTCCTCTTCTGGAAGGCAACTGAGCGGGCAGTTTCCTCGCCACAGCTCCTACAGCTGTTGCATTATTTGGGGGCCTAAGGTCTGCGGCTTCACTCGAAAGGAGTGGGTAGCGCCATGAGCTGAAGCTCAGCGTTCCGCAAAAGCAAAAAAGCATCCATCCATCCATGCATCCATCCATCTACCCAGCCATTGGTCCAGCTAGCCATCCATTGACCTATCTACACTCTACACATCCTTTTATCACATTTTGCCACATCTACTTGACAATCTCTATGTCTCTATGCCTCTATCTCTCTACCTCCTCAGTGCATCGACCTACCTACAAGTGCACTCAAAATGCAAATGGTGCCAGCCATCAAACCTGTGCATCCTCAACATAACTCAAAACCCCAAGACCCAAAAATTGATAATTTTTGACACTCTCCGACACCCCTTTTCTCCCATGCAGCCCCTCAAAAAGGAGTCTCTGCCCCGGCACCCCCTTACTCTAAGCAACTCTCGCCCAACCTATCGGCAGGCCTTTGTGACCTTTCGCCCTTTCGCTCAAATCACTCACTAAACAGGTTTGGGCCTCATGTTCACGATCTTTTGATGTGATTTCAGTCCCTCCCTGAAGTGAATACGGATTACCATGTTGCCCAAACCCACCTGCTGTATACAACCAGAAACATTGCTAGCAAATCCGCTCATCCAACGATGGCCCTTTAGTTTCAACCTGCTCACCAAAGTCAACCATTGACAATGAGCCCACCCTACGAGGGTTACGATGTCGTCAGTCTTGGACTTGTGATTGTCTGTCCTACACACCTCATCCCTAATCACAATGCCCCAGCCTGCTTGGCTGTAGCTGGAAGCGGAAGATGGGTAGCCGCTCATGTTGACTGGAAAAGCCAGCCAGTATCCGAAATGCCGGAAGTTGTTAGGAAAGCCGTGACCTGGGATCAAGGGACACAAGTGATAGCAGGCTGTTGGATGTACTCGGTGCGCAAGTCTGGCAGTCTATATGGTGACCAAAGGCATGTGTCTCCGCAGCATGCTTGCCACAATACAGGTAGACTGGCGAAACAAACGATTATTTCAAGCGATGTCTGTTCATGTCCCACTCCTCTGTTGGCCACGGTACTATCTGACAGCAGGCAAAGGGCGCGGTGGGGCCCAAGCTATCCTGAATCTTGCGAAGAGCAACAATTAGAGTTATATATAGTTGTGGGAAACTAATCTTAATTCATAAATAATAAGGTTACGCGGTGCATCCTAACCCCTGCTCAGAAGGTCATCTTAGGACTTCCGAATTCCTTTTGCATGATGGTAAAGCAGCGCTTGCTTTCAATATGTTGGCTCCATCCATTCTCCAGGGGGAGAATTGCTCAGAAAAGAACCAAATAGTTACTGCACACGTAGTTTGGCACTTGCACTTGCTTGGCTGAAGGCTGAAGGAGGCGCAAAATGTGACAATCCAAGGTAGCCTAAGGGCCTAGCCTAGCCACCACTTGCATCCTCATTCTTGTCCTAGACAGAACATGTCAGATACAATGTCTTGAACCGGCTAGAGAGAAGTGCGGCCCAAGCGTCGGCTTTCAGAAATCTCTTCCGTTCCATGAGCCAAATGGCTCAAATGCGGACAACTTTTAAGTGCGCAGCATATTGACTAACCCTTTACAGCACCGCTGTTCGATTTGTTTGAGTCGTCTTAAAGCAGTTGCCCTCCTAGGACTTCGGCATTATCGGCCCCAACATCCTCTCTCTCTCTTTTTGACTCCCTCTAAGTTTCCTTTCGAATTCTCTTGGCTGAAAGCACATGACGTTCGAAGCATTTCGATAGAGATTGTGTGTAACTACGTACTGTACATATAATATATATTATATTATATAACATTATATCAAAACACATTTTAAAAAGGGTATGTTCCTATATTCCTATATATTTATTAGTGTATACAAATTGTTTTAGCCAGACTCTCATGCTTCAGAGCGATTCAGGCTCCCTCTCAGTGCTGCACATTCAGCCTTTTGTGAGTTGGCCTCCAACTTCTGCAATGAAGCCTGGCTTGAGCATGTCAATTTGCATCGACTCAAGTTCGGTGCAACTCGTTCATAAGAATCATCAACACGTTCTTTCTGTACCTCCGACTTCATGACTAGATTCCGAAAAATCATCAAAGTTAAAATCATCAGGTGGACAATGGATTATCTAATTCTCTCCAAAACAGTCTAAAACAGCTTTTATGCGAGCAGCAAGCAATGATCGGCGGGACATCATTCTAGAATGAAATGGAGTCAAGGGTTCAACTTGTAGGAGACCCCGCCGGTAGGACTGGTTCCGTGGATACTTGGGCAACATGAAACCTTTGAGTATCTATTCTTCAAAACAATACCACGTCACTCAAGCATCTGCAGCTTCGTGGTTCCAACCCCCAAGATCCACAAAAGCAACACTAATCACCGTTCAATACTCTCAGTCTTGCAGTTGTAGTCATCCCTTCCGGCGCAATAGAGCCTCCTCCGCAGCTACTCGAACCTAGTGGCTGGTGCTGTTTTCCATGGTGGTGTCACACGTTGTGCTTGAAAACTCTCTCCGTGGGAAGCTGTTTCCCTTTCGTTGAAGTAACCAATTGGCTTTGATGAAGCAAATGCAAATCAAATTAGTTGATTAAGTGGTACACGGGGCACACGACACTCCCAAGTCAAGCTACGGGTGCCTCATGCTCTCCGTTTTACACTTGGCCGTTGGGGTAAAACGCTCTATCAAAAACTACGTATATAAATTTGAAGAGAAATGTAACACTATGATAAAGGGCACTCCAAACGCGATGGCCTCCATCAGAAATTGGCCAGGGACTATCTCAAACCATGGGCAGGTTTGTTACCGTACGAAAAGACACCATGACAAGATAGGGGAGCTATCAGGTTACTAATTGCAGCTCTTGATTGCAAAACAATTAACAATATGTCAATTTCAAAAAGAACACACAGACTTGAACGAGAAGTGACACAATTGAAGAATGAGGTAAGCCTTAACCTCCTAAGGTGAGGTCTAGTAAGGTCAGGAACTGTGACACCGGCGGAGTTCTATGCCATACAGAAGCCTACTAGGAAAAGGAACCTACAATATAGCGATGGCCTCCAACCTCCGAGCAATGGCCTCCAACCTACTAGCGATGGCCTCCAACTTAGAAGCGATGGCCTCCCTTAGGCATGAAAGGAGCTTGACCTATTGCTAAACCTGAATGCATGTATGTTTGAGGTTCTGGGCTTTGCCTTGTGCCACACAAACGCATGTAGAGCACAAAAACAATTCCAGGTACGTCATCAGGCGTCCCTGATGATATCCTAGAATCTTAGAAGCATATGAGGAGCTTTTTTGGATGGAGACTCATATTATGTCCTCTCCATCCCCTCGAATCAATCAGCCGACTGGCAAATCTGGGACACTTGCCGCTTGTGATAGCAGTGTACACACAATGCGTTGTGGAAAGGTCATTCTCATCTTTCCTGATAGGTTTCTTTCATCCTAAGAAATGGCGCTTTCGCATGCAGAACCGCCCTGATTCCCATTCGAGCCTCAACTCGGCGCTTCTCAAGAGCCTAGCTGTAGGGACTGGTGGATGCACGTTGGGGTTGGGTTGCCAACAGCGAGGCGGAGAAGTGACTCGCAGTTTCTGACCTTCAAGGGCAAACTTGCATGTGTGTGTGTGTGTGTGCTTTAAAACATATCCCTTGTTCACAAAGCATATTATGTACCTTTCCACTTATTCCAGCTGGACTTGAACATCCAAGTTGGGAAGCCAAAGGATTCAGTGTGATACTACCATACAAAAAAAAAAGAAAAACAAATAATGGCTCTGGTCCGGTGAATGAAATCCACAAACTTGGCCTATTTGTTTGGGTGCCATTTGAGCCAGATTCATGGTAGCCCTGCAATATCATTCGATGAAAGGACTTGCTCTAGCAAGTGACACTTGTCCACGCTTCCATGCTGAGCAAGTAGAGCACCAAACCAACGCTTTTACATAGAGCACTTCAACTTTGCTGGACAGCTTTGTCTACGTGCCGAAAGTCATGGGCAGAACATGTTGTTCTTTGAGACTCGCTTTAACGGTCCTGTGGTCTGGGAACCCATGTCTGATGACTCTGTCTTGACCCTTTTGCAATGTTGCCCCAAACAAACCTATTACAGTAATTACCTATTCTGGTAATTTCCTGGAAGTTGTGAGCAGGCCAGGCATGGAGTCATTTTGGGTGTTTCTCGACTTTCACACGGAAGAGTCGTATTCTAACGGCAGTTCCCTGAGAACGGTTCTCTGAAGCCCCGACCGCTTCGCTGCGCTTCAACCGCTCTGACCTCCAGGGCTGCGAATTCCAGTATTAGATGTCAGGAGCTTCGGTGCTCGGAGGGGCTCGGAATAGATCTAGAGATATCTAGAGACGGCCATGTCACTGCTTAGAGCCTGCACAAGTCAGTTTGGGAGAGGTATAATACAATTAGGGGGAATGTGACCGAATGATCTGTCCAAACATCTTGGAGGATGCAGTGGTTGGAGGCGGTCAACATGGGCCGGGCAAATGCTCAACGGGGATGTTGAACATGTTGAAACTGTCTGGAGCTGGTCCAGGTCAATCCACATGAAACAAAGCTGCTGGTGTGAATAAACATGAATAGACACTCCAGGCTTCAAGTGGAGGCCAAATTTGGCCAAATGCCTGGAAGCCATCTCAGCAGCTGACTCGGCGATGTCCTTACGTGCCTGGGAATGAGAAATGAGAAGAGCAACTTGCAAAGTTCAACTCACCAGGCTGGAAGAGCTGGTCTGTGACTCGGCAAGCTCCCTAAACTTTGACAGCTGGGCACTGGCATGATCCCACACATCAAGGTGATTGGCACCCTGAAGTGTGCTTTCCTCGGCTTCAATCCCAATAGTGTGTTGCAGTGCATGACTCAAAGACAACCAGATAGAGCATCCGCAAACTCTCAGTGGAGGTGTCCCCTAAAACACATAACCAGAATGGCCCAACGTAACATCTCCCCAAAAGTCCTCTCGCCACCAGGTCATGATCGTGTGCAGTGGAACCTTCTCAAAGTGCGCTGCTCGTTCCCAGAATCAGAATCATATAATTCTGAACCAGGGATGATATAGACACCGAAGGTGCCTATACCAACTGGGCCCGGAAACTAGTGTAAGGATCATATCCCCAAGCAAGAGCTGCTCAGTCAAGAGTGGTTTTAAGAGTGGTTTTGCTTGATGGGTTGGGGTCTGCCACTAGAAAGCCAACACGCCATCAGGGTGACACAGGAAAAACGGCCAAATGTAAGCATCCACCGAAATATGCTGATCTTTAGACTCCAGTGGAAGGCCGCCTTTTTCCACAGCAACTCAGGCGTCGCACAGGCGAAAGCCTTCGCGAGCTCAAGATTTTAAGTTTCGATTAAACACTCCGACAAATTTCTCGTGATGGCCTTGCAGTCGTTCACGATCCACCAATTCTGTCAACCTGTGGGTGCAAAGCATCTAAACCTGTACGACATGGTTTCAAGTGGTTAGAAAATGGAACCGTCCGCTCAAATGAGAACTTCACAGGGCAGCAAAAGCACGAGAAGCCAACACCGGGTATCCCAAGCTGGACACCCAAAATCGGTACCCAAGTGGCACCGGGAAAGTCCCCAAGCCAAAAGCAGGGCGATCTGCTTGATTTAGTTGTTCACAGTCAAAATCGTACAATTACAAGTTTTTACCAAGCACGAACGCTAAAACTCACTTCAATAATTCAATATTCTGCAATAAACATATCTGAAAATAGATCTGAGGTTTTGGACCCTCTCTGCAGCAATTCTGCGGCGGCTCGTCATGGATTTTGTTGCCGATTTGCGGTAGGATTCACTGGATTGGCCGCCCGCTCATTTTGTGCCCCCTGAATGAGCTGCTGCTGGACGTTGAAATGATTCGGATTCGGATGATTGCCTCTCCTTGCGACAGGTCCTTGGCCTCCGAGATTTTGCCCAAAGCGTTCCAGCATCCTTTCACTCGGCATTTCCAGGTTCAATGCATGGAACAAGCGCATGTCTTCCGACATGGCCGAGGGGTAGGGCTCAGCCAGGGCTCCAACACAACAGTTAGTGACTCGAGCCTCTGGTCCTCAATTGCGTGCAATTCTTCTACCTTTCTTGACACACACACACACAAACACACACTTGATCACAAAGAGCCTGTAGTGGGGCCAAGTGGGGCCGTTCTTTCCATCACACAAATGGCTAATATCTTACAGATTCCTACAATCCTACCGTCCTTCGCAGGGCCACGGTCTCCAAGTGCACAAGAGTTGCAAGTGGAATCAAGGATCAAGGCATTCCCTCTTTGTTTCTCAACATCTGGCTGTGTGGTTAAACATGGTTAAACGAGCCCCTTTGCGATGATTCCGCCAGTCTCGGGGCCTCATCCATTTCCTCATGGTGCCTGGGATCCAAGTGCCTGAGAAGGTGCAGCAATTGAAGCAGCTAGCACCAGTGACTTCATGGAACAAATCAAATCTGAGAACATATCCAGTGAAACCATCACAGTATAAACGCACCGACAGAAACCGTCATAGAAACCGTCTCAACACTACCAGGAAAAGCGGGTTAAACTGCGGACATTTGTGGACGCTATCCGTCTAAAGCTGTTCACTTCTTTGACAAAGATCTGTGAACAGTATTGCGGACACTAAACATGTTCGCATGCTGCAGGCCTTTGGACTATTTCCAGCATCTTTTTGGCAAAGGCTTGGCTCAGTTCAGTTTGCGAGAAATGGATCAAGGATGCAAGTCTTGACTTGATTGGACTGGGCTGACAAAACTTCACGTTTCAATACCACATGTTTGCGTGACCATTGATACCACCCATTGAATTGATACCCGTTGTTGACCATCGATGAGTTTGATCAAGAATACCTGGTAATCCCACCTGAAGCAAAAGGTAGAGGAATTTCTGCCGCGCTACATTGGCAAACTTTTTTGCAGTTGACATCCTGCTGCAAGCCCAGCCTGGCCCTGTCCTCCTGACTCTCCAAAGTGTCCAGCTCTTTGCGCAAACGCTGGACCTGTTGGAGCTGCAAACTTGGTGCTTCAAGCTGAACGAGATGAAGGACCGATAGGGGACAATTCCTGCTTGCCAAAGAACCCTGAAACTGACAATTACAGGATATTACAGGCAAGCTGAGGGAATGAATATTTCCATGCTGTGTCTGTGCTCTGCACCCTGGAAAAGTACCCGAACCTTAAAAGTTGTTGCTCTGTGTAAGTTTTGCGGTGAACATGGCACTGGACAAGAAAACATATCAATGTGAAAAAAACAAAAACGCTTGGTCGCCGATATGTTGGCAAGCTGGGCATGAACAAACAACTAGTACTACAGTCGCATTCTGAGCTGTACAGCTAGCGGCCTCCCGCTGCAAAGTCTGCAGTGGTCCGTGCTCCACAGGCTGTGGGCGGCGACTCTGAGCCTTTTGGTTTGCAGGAGCTGTCGGGAAAGTCGGGACATGTCGGAACGGCAGACATCTTCGAACAATTATCTTTTGCAAACGTGGGGTCAGGAGATGTCACGAGATGTCGTGAGTTCATGAGATTGCAAAAATGATTAACATCCAAGGCAGCTTCGCGCAAACTTTCAGGGTGCATTGTTTAGGGGCCTGATTGTACGTAAACACACGCGTGCAACGGTGTTTATCTGAGCCCAGCAGAATCGGAGTTTATGTCCATTTTACCACACGTCTGGTATGGTCTCGTGCGCATGATATGGTCTCGTGCGCAACGTTTATTATTATCGCGTTCATAGAGCATTGTCATTTTTCCACATCATAGTCATCGGGTTCACAACATTATCATTGTCTCCGCAACATTGTCATCGACTTGACAACATTGTCATCGGCATTCATTGAAAAGCCGTGTGACTAATTGGGGAGGGGGAGGGGGGGCCATCGAACGCTTTCACATCATTGTCATTGGCTTCACACATTGTCATCGACTTCACAACATTGTCATTGGTCATTGGCATGTTCATTGCCATGATATGCCATGATTATCTTCTCGGAGCTGATAGCAATTGGCTCTTCAGCTGAAACCAACCTGTGCATGGGTCAAAAAGGACATCATGGGGCCGTTTACAGTGATTTGGAGGCTCGTGGGTGCGCGTTTACGGCCAATCGGCCCGTTGTTTTAGTTTGTTCTCATATGACCAGGCACCCTTCAAACCTGCAGGTCACCCGCATTGACCCCCTCTATTGACTCTGAGGCTATGATCTACCCTTTTATATCCGTTTATCAATTTTGCACGGTAATCAACTAATCATAAAACTAACTATGTCAAGACGACCTAGCCGTCATTTTCCACGCACATTCTGCAAACAACCCTTTGTCTGTCTGGAAAGCATCCCCTTTGACGCCAACAAAAAACAAAAACAATGCAGAAAACACCCCACTTACATAAACTATCATTAACCTTACCCACCAGGACAACACTAGCAACTAAGGCCCACCGCGCAACACTTATGTATGAGTGAACAGGTTCAACATGGAGGAACAACCCCCCACTTTCTCGCACTAAATACTTGGGTTTGCACAGAACCCGTCTAACTAGCCTTGCCCGAGCGATGGCTCAGCGGAATCTTGCCACCTGAAAACACCAGTTCCAATGCTCCGAATGCTCTGCACCTGAACAGTTTGCAGCTCATCTTTCAACCTGAGTCGTTCCCGAATCTAGGCACCCAAACCATGGTGCATTGACGCTTCAATCAACAATTACTCACACTTTGTGCTTGGTAATTAAGAATAATTGATGCTTAGTCTTGCAGCATACCACCCCCAAGGTCTTCAACACATGTGAATGAAATGACCTCAACAAAAGGCAAACTCTTAGCAGTACGTTTGTGGGAATGTTTCCAGGCGGTACACTCTTGACACTTTAAAAACAAACACTGTTTGGCAACTGAAAGCCCAGGAACCATTTGGCCCGATGCCGGGCTGCATCTCGTGCGGCCGTAGTGCTCGCAAGCTCCTTGTGCTGACTGAATATGTCATATCATATCAGATGTCATTCAGCGTTTGTTATGGACTTCATGAAGCTATTTACCAGTCCCAGCGGGAAAAGGGACACAGCCGAAGTGGTTTGTTTATGTATTTTGCTGAGCCCACAGTGAAGGGCGGCCTGGAGTTTGAGGGGGTGTGCATGGACCCCCATGATCTACCTACAGCTGTTTTCTGTGGGCCTGCACACACAAACAGCATATTACAGTATCAGAAGTGAATGCCCATGAGCAGCTGACAACCACACACCCATGTGCAAAAACGTGCTAAAACAATCTAAAGCCTGTCGTTCTTAAAGGTTCTCCATGAGCCGTATACAAAACCGTGTGTTTTTTCTTTTCAGCGGGTTCGGGCCAAAAGCCAACAACAAGAAAGTAACCGAGCGAAGGAAAATATGGGGCATTGATTTTCAGGGCTTGCTCTTTGGGTGTGACCCACAAAGAAGATACACTGGAGGCAAGGCAACAGAGATAGTAGTGAGTTTCACATACTGCTCCGGCAGAGCAAAAACAGAAAACAATAAAAGCCAAGAGCACAGAAAAATAACTACCCCAGATTCAGATGTTCCTCGGCTCGGCTCTTCCCCACCTGTCAGGTGAGGATTATTGGATTCTAGAGGAGGATCCGCGACTCGTGCTCCTTCTGCTTCTCTTCCTTCTCCTCCTGCCCTCACTACAGCAAGCGCAAGATCACAGTGGGCACTCCCGGACCTCAACAGCAAGCGCCACATCGCAGAGGGCGCTCCCGGGCCTCAACAGCAAGTGAGAGAATTGAGTGGGCACTCACGGGCCTCGACAGCAAGTTCCAGATCACAGCGGGCATTTTCTTCGCAGCCTTTATGATAGATGATGTGTCAAAGCACAAGTCAGACTGGATTCCAGAACAAGCTGCGGAGTTAGATGGGCTCAAAACGAAAAGTGGCGGCAGCCAGCAGCAAATCTTTTGCCGAGCTGTGCTTGATCAAGCTGCGGATTGCAGCATCGCGCAAACAACACACCACCGCACACCACCTTACGCCAGTCTTCACACTGGCAAAAAGGGGTGTTGGTGTGTTGATCTATCGAATTAAAGGGTGGCGCGGCCACAAGGTGCTGGCTCAGCCAGGAGGGATGGCGCTACCATCTGCTTGGAACGTGCTTTGCGTCGTTCCCTTTGCCCCTTCCGAAGTTCCTTTCGTCGATCTTCAGTGGCCTTCTCTTCCGCGGTTTCCTTCAAGCTGATGGTCTTCTTCTTGAGGTACTCTTCCCACAACACATTACGCATGGCCTTTGTCAGGCCGTCAGCATGCTGTCTGTGAGTGGGGGCCCAATACAGCTTGAACACCTCCTGCTCTAGCAAGTCCTTTGCGACCAGAAGATCCAGCATCGTCTGACGCTCTGAAGGAACTTGCCCAGTCGTGCACAAATGGTCGTACAGCGACTTGGCATCGGTCGTCGGTCACTAATGCCGCCACCGATCCTGAGGCGCGCACGGCATCCCGCTCCAACCTCAAAAACTCCGTGGATCATCATGTCCGCGATGAGGCGGACATAGAGGCGCCCAGGCTGAGAGAGCAAGATTCCGCGGCCATCGAGCTCCTGACAACATGTATAGTCCATGACTGCAGCCGGCTGTGGGCCGTGGGCGACCTTCTCGTTGGTCAAGAAGTGCACCGCCCCGAGCTGGGACTTCCCGTCCTTTTCATGGCCCAATGAAGCGTCGAAGAACGTGACCACATAGAGCTTGCCACCAATTTGGGGATAGGGCAGAACTGCCCGGCCCTCCTGGGCTTCCTGCTTGACCTCCTCATAGAGACGCAGGGCTTCTTGGTAATCCCCCACTTTTGCTTTGGTGGCATGTTGCGCCAACTTGCTGACCTTGTACAGGAGTTGTGGCATGGATTGTTGTCCCGGCCACCTCAGACGCGTCACCAATTGCCTGTATGCCGTCAGCTGTTGTGGATTCAGCGGTGTATCTTTCTTAGCCTCTGGCTTCAAGTCTGGCAGGGATATCTTGTTGATTTAGGTCGACATATCGTCATAGAGCTCACCTTCGCACTCCTTGAGATCCACACCCAAGAAGGTCAGTGGAATCGTTTTCCACTCTTTGATGGCGAACATGGCATTGATGTCTTTCTTCAACTTCTGAAACCTGCCATCCTCCTCTGAGCCAAATAGAAGGCCATCATCAACATGCAGATTGAGCAGCGCCCATGCTTGGCCATCCTCTGATGCCACAAAGCTGCTCTTGCTGATGGGTAGTTCTTGAAGAGGTGTGGATGTCAACAATTTGGCTCGCGAGTACCAGAGCCGTGGACTTTCAACCATTATCGGCTGTGAGTGCTCCGTGGTCCATGCTGCAGTAGAGCCCCTTCTTCAGGTGGCAATCCCTGCGCGATGCCCAGTGAGCTGCTCCATTCAGTGATCTTGTTCAGGCGTTGGCAACTCCGAGGCCTCTGAAGGCTTGACTCGTCCCTTCCGATCAAGAGCTCCTTCGTAGAGAGCTCGCCTGAACTCCTTCAACCTTTTCTTCCTCACTGGCTCCGGCAGAGTGCTCACTGACGCCGTTTCTGGAGCTGGCGTCGTCGATGAGCTGGCAGCAGTATAGCCTTCCTTCTTCTTGTCTGGGCGTGTCACCTTTTCAGGTGTCCCTTTCTTGAACAGCTGCTTAGATGCCTCCATGCCCCTTTCTTCCTTGAGCTTCTTGTAAAGCTGTTTCTTCTCTTCTTTGGACATGTAGGGCAGGATCTCCAACATCTCTGCTGCTGGAAGATCTGTCTCCATAGGTCGGGCCTTGCTCTTGGCGGCAACAGCCTTCAGCTCCTTCTCTTTCTCTTTAACCTTTTCTTTCTTCTTCTCCAGTCTGCGCTTCAGCTTGTGATCATCTTCATCTGCCTCTTCTTCCAAGGCAGCCAACACGGTCCTCGATGCAGCCTTGTACTTCGATGCTTTCTCTTTGGCCTGTTCCGGGGACTTACCAGCAGTGAAAGCCAAAGGTTCTTCTTCTGAAGTGCTGGTGGTTGAGGAGCCGTGCCATTCTTCACATTGGGACACTCCGGATCGCCATGCCAGTGTCCAGTCTGCTTACACGAAGCACATTTGGACTTGGCCTTCCTCTGATCCATGGAGCGGTACTCCACCGAGCGACCGCCCTTCTTGCCTTTGCCCTTAGATTTGCATCGCTGTAGCCCCTTGCCTTGCGAGCCTCTGCTGACTTCTGCTTGGCTCGCCAGCCAGCTGCATAGGCCTCGCGAAGATCCGTGTCATCATCTTCCCATCCTTCTTCATCGTCCCACTCCCAACGGGAGTAGTACTATAGCGGTTTTTGCTTTTAGTAAAGTTATAACACAAGTTATACGTTGCCTAAAACAATTTATAAACTATGTTTGTTATTTTAAAACCAGCTATGCAATTTGATAAGCGGATATAAGTGGGATAAGACTTGTAAGTATTTATAACAAAGTTCACCAGTTACAACACAACTTATAAGTATGGGGCCACGAGTTAACAAGCTAGATGTAACTAAGTTATAACTTTTGTAAGTTCTGCGCGAGGAACTGCGAGGAATCCGGGGCTTCATTCGCCGTGCATCGCCAGCTCCCTCGGTTCACTGCAGCGAGGCTCGCACGCTGCAGTGGCAGCACACTCGCGTCGCGGAGCATTCGCAAATTTAAGGACACACGCACATACAATTTTTTCACACACGCAACGCACTTCACAATTTCACAATGGAGAACGCGCACATGGGTCCGCTTCCGCTGCCGAGCGGCAACGGCACACTCACTGCGGCGGATCGAGACCGCATCAGGCAGCAGACTGGGGTCTTGGCCTGCGTGAGATGGAGAGCTCAGTGGCAACAACGTTGCTTGACCCTGAGCGGGCCACCGTCCAGATTGGAACAGGCCAAAGCTCTTGCAGAAGAATGCATCCGCATGAATGGAGAAGAAGGTGGTCGAGCTTCTGAGTCTGTCCAACCGCAGGCAACAAGTTCGCAAATGGCAGCTGTAACGCAAACGATGACAACAGTTTTGGAAGGCGGTCTTGCATCCCTGAAGCAGTATAGCGACCGCCAAGATGCTACGCTATCGACTCAGCTGCACGCAATACAGGAGAAGCTCCAAGTGGTGGAGTGTATTGCATCACAAGCGTTGGCAACTGCTACGGCAGCACAGGCAGCTGCAGCACATGCAGCAGCAACAGCAACGCATTCAGCTCGCAAGGGTCAGGGAACCCACAGAAAGCGGAAGCCTTCCAGATGCAGCAGTTCCAGTGGAGATGATGGATCCATGCTGAAGGAGAAGAAGCAGGATCTTGGAAATGTGAAGGTCGAGCCATCGTCGTCATCTGCTCTGAGGAGGTGAAGGAAGAGGAACCTGCAAAGGTCGCCCCTCCAAACAAGGAGCCTGCTGAGAAGACTGACACTGAGCAGACCTCTCCAACATCACCTGCCGACGAGGTGGCTTGATAGGGTTTGTTGGTGCATTTTTTGTTCTTTTGTCTTTGTTCATCACCCTCTCATGCTACACGTTCGCACTTCCAGCCCAGTAAGGCACCAACGGTGGAGGAAGTGCCCACGATCTTGCCTCCTGACGAGGTCCAGCAACTGCCTCTGAAACATGTGGCAAAGGCAGATGAGGCGGCTTTGGATCATTGACTGAACTGCAGAGATCTGTAAGAGAAAAATTGCTTCCTGTTGTCATTTTTGATGTTGACAAAGACATTGACGTTGCTATTGTGATTGTTTGCTATTTTTTTTTGGGTCGGCAGAGTTTTGGCTTTTGGTATTCTGGAAGGCTCGCCTCCATGCCCAGCAAACCCAAGAAGCTCCCCAGGAATCTATCGCTGCAAGACCATGTGGCGCTGTTGGGGGACGACCAGCTTGACCCTGGTCATCAAAGAAAAAAATTAAGAATGGAGCTCCTCAAACCTTTGTCCATTGAAAGGGAATGCGGTGCTCTTTTGAGGTCCATGACAGTGACACTGGGGGACAAGA